TCTCTCTCCCTCACGACCTTCCTCTCTCACAAAATCAATCAATCAATCAACCAATCATTAAATGAGAATGTTAAATGTATAGAACCCTAAATGAGCTCCATAATGGAAGTTACTGTCATTGTAATGTGGAGACACGAAACCTCCCTGATTCAATTTCATATAATTTATACTGGCTTCCAATAAGGGCGGATCTTCTGTCATTCACCCCAACTTTTCAAGTAAATCCTCCTTAAAGCTTATAATATACCAAAACCAAGAATGACTTCGGGTAACAAGTAAATAATCTTCCCTCAAAAATATATACTTGTGGTCCTGACCAGGTATATGTAACACACAACTTTTAAAGACTAAATGATGAGGAAATAGAAAATCTGAACAAATCTACCCTAGACCAGTAAGGAGACTCTAAATTAATGTTCTAAAAATCTCATAATAAAGAAAAATCCAGGACCAGATGGTTTTACAGGTGAATTCTAACAAATATTTAAGAATTAACACTAATCCTTTTCAAGCTCATCCAAAACAAAGAGGGAATACTTCCTAACTCATTCTGTGAGGCCAAGATTGCCCCATAACAAAGTCAGAGATACTACAAGAAAGCTATATATCAATATCCCTTATAAATATTAATGCAAAATTCTCAAAAAAAATACTAGCACAGTAAAGGATTATATATGATAACCAAGTGGGATTTATTCATGGAATCCAAGGATGGCTCAACATATAAAAATCAATCAATGTAACATACATGAAAAAATGAAGAAAAATGCACATAATTATCTCAACTGATGCAGAAAAAGCATGTGGCACAATTCAACACCATTTCATTTTAAAATATGCACAAACTAGAAATAGAGGGAAACTACTGTAACATAATAAAGACCATATATGAAAAACCACAGCTAATATCATACATAATGTTGAAAGGTTGGAAGCTTCTCCTCCAAGATTAGGAACAAGACAAGGATGTTTGCTTTCACTACTTCTATTCAACACAGTAGTGAAAGTTCTAGCCAGAACAATTAGACAAGAAAAGGAAATAAAAGGCATCTAAATTGGAAAAGAGGCCATAAAATTATCTCTCTTTACAGACAACACAATCCTGTATGAAGAAATGACAGTGAGAACTAATAATTTCAGCAAAGTTACAAGGTACAAACTCAGCATGCAAGTTGTGTGGTTTCTATATACTGACAATGAGCAATCTGAAAAAGAATTTAAGAATACAATTCCATTTACGTTTATTTATAACTGAACATAACAAATGAGGTAAAAGACTTGTACACCGAAAACTATAAAATGTTGCTGAAAGAGATTAAAGAAGGTATAAACAAATGGAAAGACAGCCCCTGTTGGTGGACTGGAGGACCAAATATTTTTAAGATGTCAATATTATCCAAAGCAATATGCGGATTCAATGTAATCCCTGTCAAAATCCCAATGGCATTTTTTGCAAAAATAGAAAAATCCATCCTAAAATTCATCTGGAATTCCAAGAACCCCAAAATAGTCTTGAAAAAAAGAACAAGGTTGGATGTCTCATACTTCCTGACTTTGATACTTACTATAAAGCTACAGTAATCAGCCCTGGCCAGTGTGGCCCAGTTGATTGGAGCATTATCCCATAAACCAGAAGGTTGTGGGCTTGATTTCCCATTAAGGCACGTGCCTAGGTTGCAGGTTCAGTCCCTGGTGGTCAAGGCACATACTAGAGGTAAATGATTGATCTTCCTCACATAAATGTTTCTCTCCCTCCCTCTCTCTCTCCCCCCCTTCCTCTATCTCTAAAATAAGTGGGCATATCTTCAGGTGAGGATAATAAATAAATGAAAAGCTACAGTAATCAAGCAGTATAGTACTGGAATAAAGACAGACATATAAACCAATGGAATAAAGAGCCCAGAAACAAACCCTCATATACATGGTCAATGATATTCAACAAAGCTGCCAAGACCATTCAGTGTATAAGGACAATCTTTTCAATAAATGGCATTGGGAAAAATGGATATCCACATGAAAAAAAATGACGGTGGATCCTTTCTGTACACCACAAAAAATTAATTCAAAATGGATCTATTGTCTAAACAAAAGATATAAAAGTATAAAGCTCTCAGAAGAAAACACAGGGGAAAAGACTGATGACACTGGATTTGACAATAATTTCTTGGATGTTACATGAAAGGCACAGAGAACAAAAAAAATAAATGACTTGGACTTCAAAATTTTAAATGTGCATCAAAAGACACTAGCAATAGAGTAAAAAGGAAACCTACAGAACAGGAGAAAAATATTTTCAGACTATATATCTGATGGGGACTAAGATCCAAACTCCTAAAATTCAACAAGAAAAAAGAGGCAACCTAATTCAAACATGGGCAAAAGGCTTTGAACAGACATTTCTCCAAATAAGATTACGAATAGCCAAGAAGCACATGAAAAGATGCTCAATATCACCAATCATTAAGGAAACACAAAAGAGGCCCTGGCCAGGTAGCTCAGTTGGTTAGAGCACCACCCAATAGGCCAAGGTTGTAGTCAGTTCAATCCCCAGTCAGAGCACATACAAGAGTCAACCAGTAAATGCATAAATAATAAATTGTTTCTCTCCCTATCTCAAATCAATCAATTAGTAAGAAGAAAGTGCAAAACAAAACCACAATGAGATACCATTTCATGTCCATTAAGATAGCTATTATTAAAAAAAACAAAAGAGTTGATGAGGATGTGGAGAAATTGGAACCTTAGCACAGTGCTGTGGGAATGTAAAATGGTACAACCACTATGAAAAACAATATTGCAGTTCCTCAAAAAATTAATAATAAAATTATTGTATGCTCCAACAATTTGACTTCTGGCTATGTACTTGAAAGAACTGAAAGCTGAATCTCAAAGATAGTTGTAAACTTATGTTCACAGCAACATCATTATTCACAACAGCCAAAAGGTGAAAGCAACCTAAGTGTACATCAATGAATAAAGAGATAAGCAGTATAAACATAAAATGGAATACTGTACGATACTCCAAAGGAAGACAAATCTGACACACACTATAACATGGATGAATCTTGAAGACATAATACTAAATGAGAGAAGCCATTTAGCTTCTGTACAAAAGTATAGATACTATATGATTCCCTCATATGAGGTCAAATTCATGAGAGATAAAGCAGACCAGTGACTGCCAGGGGCTTGAGAGTGGGAAATATGAGGAGTTATTGTTTAATTCATTCTGTGGATGGATGGCAATGATGATTGTACAACAACGTGAATATACCTGATGCCACTGAATTTCACACTTAAAAATGGTCAAAATAGTAAATATATACATATGTAAAAAACAATATTCAGATATTTTTAGATGTTATTTATTTTTGGAGGGGGGAGGGAGCAAGAGAGAGAAACACTGACTGGTTGCCTCTTGCACACCCCCAACTGGGGACCTGGCCCATAACCCAAGCATGTGCCCTGATTGGGAATAAAACCAACGACCTTCCAGTTTGCAGGCTGAAGCTCAATCCACTGAGCCACACCAGCCAGGATCAGATATTTTTTAAAAGATAACTACTGTATGATTCCACTTATTGGAGATATCTAGAGTAGTCAAATTCAAGAACCAAAAAATAGAATGATGGTTGTCAAGAGCTGGGGTAAGGGGGAAATGGAGAGTTGTTTAACTGATATAAAGTTTAAGTTCTGCAAGATTAAAAAGATCTGGATATTGGCTGCACAGCAATGTAAATATTTTTAACATTAATAAACTGTATATTTAAATGTTAAGATGATAAATTCTATTTTAAATTTTTATTTATTGATTTTAGAGAGAAAGGAAGGGAGGGAGTCAGCGAGAAGAGAGACAGAGAGACTGAGAGCACCCTCAGTTTGTTGTTCCACTTACTCATGTACTTATTCATTGGTTGATTCTTGCCTGTACCCTGACCAGGGAGGGAAGAAACCACAACTTAGATGTATCAGGATAGTGCTCTAACCCACTGAGCTTCCTGGCCAGAGCTAAGATGATAAATTTTATATTCTGTGTATTTTATAATTAAAAACAAGACTATATATACACACTCACACTCACACACATATATATACACACATTTAAAAGATACTTGTCTTCAGAGTTCATCTGGAGAAAAGAGGCAAGGAGAAAAGTGCACTCAGTTCACTGACAGCATATCAACTGTGTGCCTAAAATAGCACCAAAAGATTTCTCCTAAAGGAAATTAATTGATTATCCTGAATGACAAAAATTTTTAGAATTTATCAGTTCTGGTATTAATTCCAAAAGGCTAGGGGTAGTTTTCTTCTCAAGTCAAATCTTTATCTAATTCTTAATAATTTTAATTCCTAATTTCTTAAAATAAGCTTACCTTATTCCAGAAAGCCACCAAGAAAAATTAGGCACTAGAAGAACAGCAACATTATCAAGCCATTTTTGCCCTAAACAAACCCAAACATCAAATGACTTAACTGACGGCTTTATAAAAAAGAGTTTAATTTGTGAACCCTAGTTTTCAACCAATTCGATCTGAATACTGAGAGGGGACAATGAGACAGGTCATAGAACTGGGACTCCCAAAAACAATTTCTAAGATTAAAAAACCCCACTATGTTCGGTTGCTGGCTCTATAAGGATCCCTATATTGAAGTCTCAGTGTCTCATATAATACCGTAATACTACTTTAAAAGAGCACACTGAGGCCCTGAGTATCTCAGTTGGTTAGAGTGCTGCCCTGATATGCCAAAGTTCTGGGTTCGATCCCCAGTCAGAGCACATACAAGGATCAACCAATGAATGCATAAATTAGTGGGACAACACAAACCAATGTGTGTGTGTGTCTCTTTCACTAAAATCAACTAAAAAAAAAAGAAAGCACATTGAGAGTTAATTAGAGGTCAAAACCCAACTAAGTATAAAAACACAGTTGCTAAGGGTGGCTTTTGTAAGTTATTTTCACTATGTGTCACTTTTCCTACTTAAGATAATTTTTACTTACTTGGTCAACTTGTGGCTTTTCATTGCTGTGAGAAATTCCCTGACAATCTCAGGACTCTGGTGCCTGCATGGTGTTTTTGATATGTATTTTAATGTCTAAAGAAAAGGAAAAAGCAAGTTTAAATTAGAAAAAGGAAAAGTAATGGCTATAATTTAATACCCTAAAATTGTGATTCAAAAATATTTTATAAAACAAATGCCTTCAGGAGATTCAATCTTAATATGCTAGGAATTCTTCAAAAAAGAAAACCAACAGCCGGAACAGGAAGAATAATTAATGAAAGCTTAGAAGAAAACTTTTCTGATCTTAAAAGAAGAAAAAATTTAATCTAACAATTTCATTATCATATTTCAGACAATTTTTTTAAATACAAGAAATCCAAAGAATAAAATAACAATGAATCCCTATAGATATAAATGACTTAATAAATAGATAAAAAGTAGCAACACTTTATTACAGAAGAATCCTAACTATGAAACATAAAAGAAATAAGGGAAATAAATCACCATTAAGCAGTCCCACCCTAGTACTAATTACTGCAGGAAAGACCCACCAATGAATGCTAAAATTAATGGGCAAAGACTTAAGGAGAAATTGGATATTTACATAGCCTCAAAGCATCTTCCCCAAAATTTTTATTAATTATTGTGATGAATTTAACATATGTCCTCAAATTCTTTGATATCTCTCACTTCAAGAGGTAAAACCTAACCCTTTTCCCCTTGAATATGGGTTGGACTCTTTTCTAATAGAATATGGAAATGGAGAAACAGCAACTTCACAGTCAAGAACCCAGACAGGCAGCACCTTAACCAAGTGATCAAAGTTAACAGGATCAGTGATAAGACCCGGATATCATGTACCCTGTAATGCCTATATGATATTCTTCCCCCAAGGCCATTAATTTCAGTCTAGTCATGAACCAAAATGACACAGCAGAATCAAGGAACTTTCTACAAAATACCTGACCAGTACTCTTCAGAAGTGCCAAGGTCATGGAACACAAGGAAAGACTAAGGACCTGTTACATTTCAGAAGATATTGAGGAGACACATTAACTACATATAAAATCGTGCCCTAGCCTGGATCCTCGAACAAGAAAAACAAGGGGAGTATTAGTGAAAAAACTGGGGAATTTTAAAGAAAATCTTTTGTTTAGTTTAATAATATGTACCAATGTTAATTTCTTAGTTTTAATAATTGTATCGTGGTTCTGTAAGATTTATATAGGGAAAACTAAGGCAAGAGTAGATGGGAAGTCTCACCATCATCTCTGTAACTCTTCTGTAAGAAAAATTATTTCAGCCCTGGCTGATGTAGCTCAGTGGACTGAGCACCACCTGAGAACCAAAGGGTCACCAGTTTGATTCCCAGGCAGGGCACAGGCCTGGGTTGCAGGCCAGGTCCCCAGTCGGGGGGGTACGAGAAGGAACCACACATTGATGTTGCTCTCCCCTCTTTCTCCCTCCTTTCCCTAAAAATAAGTAAGCAAAATCTTTAAAAATAAAAAATAAAAGAATAAAATTATTTCAAAATAGAAGTTTTATTTATTTTTTAAAAGAGAACCATGCCTAGACCATAATGTGAGAGGAATTTCAAATCTGAAAAATAAACAGTAACCTTAGCATCTAAGTAAAGAATCTCTCAAAAGTGAAAACATCAGTTTGGTCTCACACTCTTCCACAACAACAAACACTAACAGATCAAGCAATACATATAGAGCCCTGCAGAATAAAAGTTGAACCCAAGAAGTCCAGATTCAGATAAGTATTATTCAGATCAAGAACACTAGACATATATTCTCAAGTATAAAATGCCTCAAAACATTTAGCAGCACAATAACTGTCCATAAGGCACATGAACTAAAAGCAAGAAACTAAGGAGTAGCAATGAGTTTAAACTGATTAAGTTAAAAGTACTTGATAGTTTTAATTTTTGTTTATAAAACTAACTGCCAACAAATATTTTTCTTCTTTGAAAGAGATAAACTTTTGCCCTAGCTGGCATAGCTCAGTGGATTGAGTGCAGGCTGTGAACCAAAGCGTAGCTGGTTTGATTCCCAGTCAGGGCATATGTCTGGGTTGCAGGCCAAGTCCCCACTTGGGGGCACATGAGAGGCAACCACACATTGATGTTTCTGTCCTTCCCTTCCTCTTGCTCTAAAATATAAATAAAAAATAAAATCTTAAAAAAAAAGAGAGATGAACTTTTATATAACATAAAAGAACATGAATGAATGACAGGGTTTTAAACACATGATTAAATGAACAAAACTGAGTGAGGAGGAATGGTGACAAAAGTTCTAAAAGATAAATTAAAGAAATTAAAATCAAACCCTCTATAGAGATAAAATCAGAACAGAAAAGAAATAACAAGAAAACAAATTAAAATGACAGATACAATATCAGGCATCACCTATAACAAATATAATGGCTTAAACTTTTTTTACAGACAAAGCATTAAGATGAAAGAGAATGCAGCAAAATGTCCCCTAGAAATCAAGATTATGAATTACTTTTGTTGTCTTCTTGGTGCTTTTTGGTACATTCTAAGTTTTCTAGAACAATAGGTAACACTTTTGTGTAATAAAGAATTTGGCATCGCCCAGAGAAAAGGTCTGGCCTTTGACCTCAGCTTCTAGGAGGCAATCTCCAGTCTCTTGGATTGTTTTAGCTTTACAATAGGAATATCTCTGTCTTGAGTCTTAGATTACTGGATCGTCTCAACAATGTGATTTAGGATAGGGCTTTGGGTCATACAGTATCACTCAGCCTGGAGGCTGAGATGAACTACATGGGCAGTTGGTCAGTCATTCAGTCATGCTTGTTTAGTAGAGCCCAATAAAATCTCCAGACACTGAAGCTCAGCTGAGCTTCCCTGGCTGGCAATATTCTGTGCTTATTGTCACACCCAATCACATTACGAGAACAATGGAAATTCTGTATTTGACATTTCTCCCTGAATCTGCCCTATTTGCTTCTTCCCTTGACCAATTTTACTCTATACCTTACCCTGTAATAAATAGTAACTGTGAATATGTTAGCTTGTGGTGAGTTCCATGAGTACTTCTAGAAAATTACTCAATCTGAGGGTGGTCTTGGGATATCTGATGTGAAACTGGCGTTAGAAGTAAGGATAGTCTCAGAGACTACTTCCTCTAACTGTATAGTTGGCTAACCCTTGCAATTGGCCAAACTCTTTCCACTTTCATAAACAGAATAGAAACAGGGTTCTAGTACAACTATTCAAATCAGGTAATAGCAATCTTGATTAGGTGGCGAGTCATCAGCTGACTACAACAACACCCCTGAAAGGTGGTTCAGGGAGTCCCTTCAGTCTCCCAGGCTTACTTCATAGGTGATAGTATTCAAGTTCTGTTGCCCAGAACTGTGTTTATTCTTTCCACTTTCTTTACGCTGCTCTTTCAGATCAGTCAGTAACTGGAACACCTAGGAAAAGATATACAAAAGATTTTTATAGAGGAGTTTGAGAAATGGACCTATTTCGAGGTCAATAATTTTGAAGCTAAATAAAATAGTACCTCTTTTCTTCCCATTAGCCCTCTCCCCCAACTCTTGCATTACAGCAAATAAGAATCAAGAAGTATGTGACAATTTAAAAATGCTCTTTTATCTATGTCAAATAATTCAAATGCATTAGTTTACTTAAAATAGTTCAAATGTCTCTTATCAATATATATCTCTGATTGCCACAGACCTCAAAAATATTTTGATTATTTGAAAGTAAATTTTCCTAAAATAAATAATCTTTTTAAAAAGCACACTCTACCTCTCTACTATGAAAATCTAGTATAATTTATTTTGAGAAAGAAATTATGAGGCAAGTGCTAAAATATAGTTTACCAATAATAATAATAATAATGGAAAAAGGCTAGAGACTTCATAAGGAAACTTTCCCCACAAGGGAGCAACATATGTACGTTAGCATTAAGGTGGATGTGGGGAGTATATCTCTTGCCTGTTTTAGAGATAACACCAGGAGATTGAGGGAAGTATAGATTCACAGATCATTACAAGATACAATGCAATTCCTTGCCTGTCTGTCATTTTCCAAAATAGTGGCATGAGACCCAATTAACACAATCAACGTTTCTTCAGTGGATAAAACACCCCAACACGCAGCAGAGACTACACTGGAGGTTCCTAAAAGCCAATGGCTTGACCAGCAACCATTTAAGATGAATCTTCAGGAAGGCAGGAGTATGGCCAACTATGTTAGTTCTACCACCTTCTATATATATCACACAGTGGAGAACTAAATCTCCTATAAGCCTCTGAGTTTAGCCTTTGGCATATGAAAAATTAACAATGAATGTATGTATGCATTGTTCTTTCTACACCTGGAATTAACCTACCAGATGGCTTTGCTAGTACCAAACAAGATCCAGGCAAGATGCAAGGCTGGCAGCAATGTTATACCTCCCCCCTCACTAACCTCTTTCTTCTTTCCTCCCTTTCCCCAGCAACCCAACCTTCATGCCCCCAAATCCCCAATCTATTAGTTCTTACTAAATTATTCATATTGATGAGTCAACTAAGCTCTCACTTTCAAAATTAAGATTTTAATATGTATGAGACTGGGATGAAAACTGAAATGACACACAAAAGTATTTTATAGGTAAAGAGTGGTCATTTAAGAAAAGGCACATATGCACTTTAAAAGAAAATCTGATGGCAGAAACAGTTTCAATATAGATGCCTCCATCCCTGAAGGTATCCCGAATGAAGATCTAAAATTTTCAGATTAGAGGAAGGTTGCCTACTGTGTTCTAAAGTCTTCCCAGCTTTCCTGGATTACTGTAATTTACCAAGTTTAGACCATTCCAAGGTCCACCAGATGACTCCATCTGTCCTATTTTAAAGTGGAAAATCCAAATCAATTCAGTCATTGCTAACCACAAATAATTCAATAATCTTTAGAAGCAAAGAACAAACTGTCAGAGAGGAAAATACTTCAAAGCTCCCTACCTCATAGTTACTGAGCAGCGCAGAATTGGCATTCTTCCTGCAAAAGAAAAGTAAATTATCATAGTCTGGGCTCATAACCTTGTGTGTTAATTAAATATCTGTGAAATAATTTCTCTGTTAAATTCAGCAGTCCAGTTCAGGGATTTTGGAACTACAACCTTAGGAGAAATGTCCTAAGTCCTGGCTGGTAATGGACAATTTCAGGGCATGCCTTCCTTTTTGCGGCCATAGTAGATCACACACCCACCACCAGGTGAGTGATTAGAACACTCGATTTATCTCTAAACTGTGTAGGCACAAGTTCAAAGAAGTCAGACATCAGGGGGCAGTTGGCTACAGGAAGAACACCGGGGGCTTAGGGATCCATGACCAGTGTGAGGGGTGCTGGAAGCTAACTGGAGAAACAGCGCTGTCTCATTCCACGGCCACGACCTCTTCCCAGTACCGTCTGCCTTCCACCAACTATTAACAACTTGGGCAGCCAAGTCCTCCTGCTGAATCACAGGAAATGGGATCCTTAACACTAGCATCACCGCTGGGAATTCCAGCAATGTCAGAGATCCTGCAGATCTCCACAGAGCTACAACAAAGTACACTTTCCACTCCAGTTCAACAGGTACAGTTCATGTGTCAAGCAGTAGTCAAAACCTGGCACCCCGTGTAACAATCAATCAAAGCGAAATGTCATCTTTCATTTATGAATGAGCACAGCAATGTGAATTACATTAAATGATAACTGATCCGTTCTATAATGTCATATCAGAAAGTACTGTTTGTTTTTAATAGTCTGAAGGAAGCCTAGTAAGAAATTATGCATTTTTAAATCAGACAAATCTAGGTTCACATTATGGCTCAGCTATTTATATGGTATATGAGTTATACGAGTTTTAGGGAATTAATAACCCCTCTAGGCTTCCCCATCTTAAAAAAAAAAAAAGTCCCTGGCCAGGTAGCTTAGTGGGTTACAGAACTGTCCCCTATACACTAAGGTTGCAGGTTCAATTCCCCAGTCAGGGCACATATAAGAATCAATCAATGAATGCATAAATAAGAAAAACAAATCAATATTTCTCTCTCAAATCAATAAAACATTTTAAAAAATAATAAAACAAAAATGGGGATAAACTGTATGTTCTTAAACTAGGAGTGAGGCTATATGATGAAAATGATGATACAAAAATTTCAGAAACATGGGTCAAATAGATGAGCGATTTCCCCACATGGGCAACACAAGGACATGACATCGGCATGGTGACGTCAGCACTGTACCGAAATGAGCATGTGAAGCTTTCCAAATGCTCCTAGTCATTCAACAAATAGCTGGGATTTCACAAACGTGCTGCTTTGCCCAAATGACCACAACTGCACTCAGGTCACAAAGAATATTGTATTTAAAAGGAACCGGCTACAGGAAGGACAGTGCACAATTAGTGTGTGAGCTATGGTTCATGTAAAACGGAACATGACAAATCAAATCATATGTCATCTTTGCTTATTTAATCAGGAAGTCAGCCCACAAGGCTTCCTCCTATCTTTGCTTGAAATTGAGTTACTGCTCCCAGTGTGCCCCAAAATGCACAGCAACTAAGACGTCCCTGGTTGGAACAAACTGGGCTGGGGAAAAACAAATGTTATTTTTCCTCAAGGCTAACGGACCCATAGCAGGTGCCACTGTTACAACTTTATTTCGAAATGATGGCCTCTCCTGTTACGCAGAATAGTTCATCCCCTGGGAAATCTGTCCCTGGCTCTTCTAAGTTATTGCCTCATTGCCCAAGTCAATACTGTTAATTCAAGAATCTAAAGAATACCATCAGGCTTTTCCAGAACCAATATCCAAAGAAGGGAAACTCTCATGTTAATTTTTTAAAGATTTATTTTTAGAAAGGAGAAGGGGGGAAGGAGGAGAGGAAGACAAACATCAATGTGTGGTTGCCCCTCATGTGTCCCCTACTGGGGACCTGGCCTGCAACCCAGGCATGTGCCCTGACAGGGAATCGAAACAGAGACCCTTCAGTTCACAGGCTGGCACTCAATCAAGTGAACCACATCATCCGGGGTGAAAAAATTTTTGAAGCAGTTTTTATCCTGAAGAAGTCATTGTAACAACCACTAAGTAAGTGGCAGGTTGCTGGGAAGAGGAGACGGTGAGATTTAACAAACGTCGGCTTAATCATATTACCTTATTTAACAGCACCAATAATGATGATGCAACACACTGAGAAAGACACATCCCATATAGCAATCCTGTCAAAAATGTTTAATTTGAATCTATCAATGAAGATATAATTAGATAAACCTAAACTGAGGAATATAATTCCAAACAACTGGCCTAGATTCTTCAAATATCAATGTCATTTGTCACAATGCCAATGTCACCAAAAAAAAGGGGCTAGGAAACTATTTTTAGAATAAAGGAGATAAAAGACACATGAAAACTAAATGCAATGTGTGATTCTTGACTGGATCCTGAACTGGTAACATACACACCCAGAGCAAAAAGAAATATTGGGAAAACTGGAGAAATGTGAAGATAGGTTGTACTTTAATAACAGTAATTATATCAGTGCTAAATTTCCTGGGTATGATAATGGTATTATAGTTACAAAGGAGAATACCTTTATAAAATTGGGTAAAATGTCCTTGGCTAGTGTAGCTCAGTGGATTGAGCACGGACCTGCAAACTAAGGGATCGAGGTTCGATTCCCAGTCAGGGCACATGCCTAGGTTGCAGGCCAGTTCCCAGCGAAGGACACACAAGAGGCAACCATACATTGATATTTCTCTCCCTCTCTCCTTCCCTTCTCCTCTAAAGATAAATAAATAAAATCTTTAAAAATTTTTGGATAAAATAACATCTACAACTCTCAAATGGCTAAGTGTGTGCATGGGGGAGGGGAGAGTGTGAGTGTGTGTATGTATGTGTGTGTGTGTGTGTGTGTGTGTAGAAAGCTGCATGTATAAGAGAGATAAGGTAAATAGCTCATTCATCAAAATGTTACAAATGCTGACTCTACATAAAGGGTATAAAGATAACTGGTGCTCTGTTTGCAACTGTTCCATGGGTTTGAAATTTTCTAAGTTAACATGTTGAGAAAAGTGGAAATTCCTTTCTTATGGAATAAAGAATTCCATAAGGTTAAAAAAAGACACTAATAGAATTTATCACTGAAGACATTAAATGCAATCCGCCCCAGTGTTTCTTAGAGTAACTGGAATCCCTCCATTGACTCAGCTATCAATTAGATTTACAAGGTGTTGATCCTGACTGGGCAGGAACTGTCTGCTCTAGAGCTAACACTTCAGTATTCTGTAATACATTCACAAGCATTCAGGCTTCTAGAAACTGCCCATCTACACAAAACTTCATATTATCTTATAGGAGTAAGAATATTACTGATTTTATCTATAGGTGTTTAAAGCAAAAAAAAATTTTTTTAAAGATTTTATTTATTTATCTTTAGAGGGGAAGGGAAGGAGAGAGGGAGAGAAACATCAATGTATGGTTGCCTTTCATGCGTCCCCTGCTGGAAACTGGCCTGCAGGGAACTGGTCTGCAACCCAGGCATGTGCCCTGACTGGGAATTGAACCGCGATTGTCTGGTTTGCAGGCCCATGCTCAATCCACTGAGCTACACCAGCCAGGTAAAACAAAAATTTTAAGTGAATTTTAAAAACCATCTAAAAACCTATACTTAACAGGGAGGCAATCATTACTTAATTTCCTTAAATAATGACTTAATTTATTGACTAAAGTTGACTTGCTGTTTGAAATTTAACCTGTAAAATTTGCTTAACTTGCTAGTCAATTTAATGGATGTAAACAACTACTCTGGAAAACCAATTCTGAAAAACAGAACAAAATGATCTATTGGCAAACCTTCCTTAGAAACACATGGAAAAAGCCCATGTAAACAGTGCCTATTAATTGCCACACAGTTAACTCTTACAAAAGCAGTGACGAATGGAATTGCTCAAATTCTCTTATGTTCAACCTATGTTATTGACTCAAGTCATGTTCTGGAAAACTAAAGTCTGGTACAAGAAAACCAGGCGGCCACCCACGTTAATGAACAATGTAACCTGCAGCATTCTCTTGGGAGCTAACAAACAAGCATCCTCTTTCCAGTCCTGTTACTGAATTGTTTTAAGACCTATTAACTAACTGCTTTAAACCTCAGTACCTCCAGCTATAAGATGAACAAAATTCTGACACTATTTCAAAAAGGTGGTACAGAAATAAATTCAGTCCATTTTCCTAACTATGTATAGTAAGTTCAAGAATAAAAGAGTGAAAACAAAGCTTTCCAGATATAAAAATAATCCCAAGGCAAATGCCTTATATATTGTATATAAATATTTAATTTTGCTATGAAATTTTTGTATCTCTTTACCTGAGGAAAGTAAGTTTCCAAATGACACTCAAAAGATTTTATTTTTAAATTCTATCATGCAAAACAGTGATGGGGCCTGGCTGGTGGGGCTCAATGACCAAGTGTCGCCTGTGAAACAAAGGGTAGCTGGTTCAATTCTAGTCAGGACACATGCCTGGGTTGTAGGCCAGGTCCCCAGTGGGCAACCACACATTGATGGTTCTCTCCCTCTCTTCCTCTCTCCCTTCCCCTCTCTAAAAAAATTTAAAAAATCTTTTTTACGGTGATTGAAAAAGGCTTGGGGTGGTGAACGTATAATGCAACATACAAAAGATGTATTATAGAATTGTACACCTGAAACCTATAAAATCTTATTAACCAATGTCACCCAATAAACTCAATAAAAAAGAAAAATGGTAGTTAGCAATTTAATGAATATTTTATTCATTACTGATGTTTTATTTGATTCCTTTGTGGTTGGAGAACATAGTGCATATTATTCTTTGAAATCTATGGGGCCCTGGCTAGTGTAGCTCCCTTGGAGTGTCCTCCCATAAGCCAAAAGGTTTTGGGTTCGACTCCTGGTCAAGGCATGTGCCTGGGTTTCAGGATGGTCCCCAGTCAGCGTATGTACAAGAGGCAACCAATTGATGTTTCTCACATC